GTTACGTTCAATAATTATGGCTGCCTCGTAATAGAACTGATGTGTATTCGAATGGAGGTACCAGCCGAAATGATTCTGATATATTCAAGATAAATGATAATCCTCAAGATAATCCTCAATCGAGATTTATTAGTTTAGTTGTTCACTTTTCTGATGAATACTTTGCCGTTTCAAATGTAGGTTGCTGTTGTTATGCTGTTGAAAACTCGAATGATTTTCGTTTTTCTTACAGTTTTTCGTTTTCGTCTAAAATATTTTGCAATTTCTAAAGTTCTTCATTCATAATAATAATAATAACGGAATAATCGTGACAGAATCAGGACCGATTCGATTTGAATAAGTTGAATCAGTTAGTGCTAGATAGTTGGAATGAGAGGTCGTTGAAATTTCGGTTGCTTTAAGTGGAAAAGGAGGAAACCTATGGGTTAAATTCATCACGAAAGCGTTGTCGTCATTATGTCAAAATTTGTGGTTTTCGCAACAAATATTAGTCGAAGCATCAATTTTTGATGAAGCTTGAGCTGTGTACGGTATTTTTGAGCACAGTTCAGCCTTGTTAATCCGTTAATGCCCCTGATTCTGCACAGAGTTGTAGGCATGAAATGTTTTTACTGAGAGGATGATTTTAATTTGAATTTCAATATAAACGATCCAGAGTGATGAATTATTCCGAAAGACGAACTTTATGACTGATTTGGTCTTCCCCTAACTGGTCTTCTCCTAACCTGATTAGTAATCAGTGAACTTAATTGAGTAATTGAAGATCACTGATGATATTCCTACTGGGAATTGTTCTGATGGGGTGGCTTGGAGCTGCGAAAGAGCTGTCGTTAATGAGAATTGCAAACGAGTGTTGTGTTTTTCACAACATCGTGGATAATCTTGCGGTTAAATGTGTCTGTGAAAGTGATTCGTGCTGCAAGCAACAATCCGAACTTTGGATGAGGTTCATGCCTGTAGATTCAGATTCATTGTTTGCTGGGATGGATACAACAGTAAATCTGAGGCTTAGGTTCGTCGTGAAACACAGTGGAATGCAGGGCTTAAACGTTGCTTGAGGCTAGCGAATAAGCCGAACACTTTTATTGACCACGTTAACTACGAGATTACCACCTTATGGTATAGGCATTTGTTTACTTTGGGGCGGGGTTGCACGCGAACACGCTCGCGTATAACAGCCGAGGCCACGCCTACTGCGCAGGGCCTCAGCCTAAGCGTAACCTCAGCCTCATCTAACGAGGAATGGTTACGAACTTACCCTAGCGATTGATCATTATCGTTCAGGAAGTAATAGGTGCAGTCACTTGTCTTCAATGCACAATAGATTCAGATTCATTAGTAACAAGAACGACACGAAACGTTTACGCGAGTTTGAAAGGAATGAGATGCTCACTGTGGATCGTCACAATCAGATCAAGGCACTGTCGGCGAAGCTCAAGGAAACTGTTATCGAGAAAATGAGAAGGGGTATCATACTGCATGACACTGACTCACTCGTTAAATAAGGAATTGGCTCACTCATTAAATAAGGAATTTAGAATACCTCATTTCGAGGCATCTGGAGGATGGATTAAAAAATTCAAGCACGCCAATCATTTTATATCGAGGCGAATAACAAAATTTGTGAGTCGGCGAACTTTGCACACTCGTTCACAAATTGAAGATGCCTCGAGCAATTTTGTATAAATGGTCCGGTCTAAAAATTTGGATCCGAAATGTATATTCAAGGCTGATCAGTCTGCGTTAACGAAGGAACTGTACGCAACAAGGACTCTGGCACCTCGTGGCCAGCACAGCGTAGAATGTATTGCGCAATAAGTGCAATCTTTAATGCACTCATTCACCATTCTCCCCATCATAAGGGCAGATGGTGTTCTGGTTCCTAAACTATTTGTCGTACTAGGGGAACGAAGTGGCAGGTTTCCAGACAGTTTCAACTGGTCTTCCCCTAACCTGATTATCGAATGTGGACATTCGCACATTATGACCACATCTCATATGCTATTGTGGTTCAGCAAATGTGTAGCTACATCGGACATGCAAGAACGAATACTTTTTATTTTGGATTCCTGGGCACCATTTAAATAAATGAGACAATTGCTCTCCGCAAATATGGCGTTCGAAATCGAGAATATACCACCTGGTGCTACTTCGGAAATTCAACCTCTTGATCGATTTTTCTTTAACATATTTAAAAACTTCATCCGCAAGATACACTGTTATGTCATTATTCATGATATTAATTTTCTGACTTATCGACGAGAAAATATTCTATCTATTCTGGAAGTTGTTTTCAACCAATTTTGCAACCCGATCTTTCGGGAATTTATCAAATATTCGTGGTACGCTTGTGGATACATCCAACAATATCCGGATGAATTTGAAACATCGGTTCAAGTGTGTTTCCTAAACGATGTAGTTCAAGATTGTGATATCGATAATTGTGATCAGTTATCTTTTGTGAAGTGTTCTTATTGTAAACTGTATTTATGTCTCGATCATTTTATTGTGAATAAACATGCTCATTATGATCAGATGTAAACAGCAAAAAAAATCAAAAAAATCCAAAAAATATGAAATGTCCCCACGATAGAAGTTGTGGGGAGGGCAGCAAAACATCGCGTTTGTTTCGTTATGCTACAGATGTATGAGAGAAAAATTTCCCGAGCATGGGGGCCCAAACCCCCGAGCATCCACTCTCAAGTCTAGCGCACTGTCCGCCAGGACAAGCCGCCGATGCTGGAATGGAATTCAGAACGTTACTTCAATACATTGAAAACCTTTTTCCTGCCATATCTCGCGTCCCTTTTGTGTTTAGCAAAAAATATTTGCATATAAATGATTAGCCTAACGAGCTCTACAATATGATGTATGTCTCATCTCGAAAGGCTGGGGTAAGTTCGTGACCTTTCCTAGTAAGCGTAGTGTAAGATCGTTCAATGTTACAACGTGGGCTAGCGAGCGAGCTCAGGCTTAGGCTGAGACTACGCTTAGGCTGAGGCCATGCGCAGAAGACGTGGCCTCGGTCTATGTGAAATCATCGTTCAGAGTGTGTGAACTAGTGTTCGTCGGGGAGCACTTTTTCGCGCGGGGGGTGTCCCCGCGGGGAGAAAAATGGACGGGGGTCCTCGCAAAAAAGTCGGGGAGCGAATTGCGCGGGGAGGGATCCCGTCAGGGGATGACCGCTCCCCGTGTTCTCCGACGGGGAGCATTTCAACTCAATTTTTTAACAGGATTTCAATTTTTTAAAGATATTTCTTCTTTTTTCAAGTAGTTTGCTTTCAAGTACACCTTATACTCACATTTCAAAACAAACAACAAGACAATATTGGAAGCGTTGCAGCGGTCTTTTACCATTTTCAGTTTATTGTTCGCGATACTTGCGAAGGTTCGCGCTCCCCGTCCTCCCCGTCAGGGAGCGAAACTGGACGGCACGGGGGTCCTCGAGAAAAGGTCGGGGGCGGATCGCCCGAGGGGGGTCCCCGCGGGAAGAAAATTGAACGAGGGGGGTCGCCGCGAAAAAGTCGGGAAGCAAGTTGCGCGGAGGGAGCTCTCCCCGTCGGGGTCCGACGGGGACCCTGTTCCCCGACGAGCACTAGTGTGAACGTATATGTATTGTTGTACGCGAGCGTGCTCGTGTGCGAACCCCTACCCCCAGAGTAAACAAGTGCCATATCTCTAACCTGAAGAAAAAGATTGCCGAATGTGGGCATTTATTAGATGAAATAATAGTAGGCTGAGTATTCATTTCGAATTGTCGATGTACGTCAGGTTATGTCATGTCATTCTCCATCTCAACGGATCTAACAATGAGTCTTATAATGGAGGAGGGAAATGGTTCTTCTTTCAAGCTGAACGTGAATCTTTTCTGTGATTTTCGATTCGGTTAGAGATGGCGCTACATGGTCAGTTGATGAAGGGTCAGTTTAAGTTGTTATGAGATCAGCGTTCTTGCATCTGCTGTACATCTGCTTTATTCAGAGTTAGATGAAATATTTGCAGATTTGCGGAATTAACGAGCATCGCAGGCATTATGATCATATTATTGTACTTATGATTTCATTATGGTTTTATTCAGTTATTGCATGATTCATTGTTAATATCATTACTTTATGACTGTATGATCTCAAGCATTAGAATTTTATTATTCGATCAGTTTTATTCAAAAATGTGCATTTTTTCACATCGTTGTGTTTCAAATATTTGTTTTGTGTTTCAGTGCTAATTATTGATTTTTTCTTTGTTTTTATACGGAAAGGTTTCTATATAGTGAAAAATAAATGATTTTTTCTATCTCATGTATTCACTTACACCACAGAAAATTAGCTGAGCTCGTAGTTATAACTCGCATTATGAACTGCAGAATTAGTGACAGCTTTTTACACATCTTCCTTGATGGAAGCATTACTAATGTACCGCATTCTGTTGCGCTTCATCAGGGGACATAACCCCAGGTTTGTCCTGAGGTCCCATAGTTCAGGCGGTTGTTTGCAGGAGCGATCGTACTCATGATGGATATAAGAGATCGTAATATATCGAGTAATACGCTTTTTATAACCGAAGCACACAATGGTGAACACGCGTACGCATTGCTCAAAAGTCGAACCGAAACGAAGTTTCCTGGCTGACTATGCGCTTCAAAATGACATAGTGCGGAATGGTCGCGGACGGATTTGTCGTAGACTCGTCTACTGGGTTCTTGTTCTTAAGATTGAGGAACGGAAGTATTAATGGATAGGAGTCAGAAATTTTCGGTTGAAGCGTGATGAGGATGTGGTCTTTTTTCTGTATTTCATGTGATGATTTTTAACGTACCTCTGCGGAACTTTTGTTATTCCTGGGTTCAACATTCATTGATATTCCACATTTTCTGTTTCGTGATGAAGTCAGTAATTGAACGAATAATAATTTTGTTACAGCTTAATCAAAGTTGGTATTTTTGTTGTGTTCAATTGGAAAAGAGCACAATAAGAAACCAGTTGCATTACTGCCCATATTCAATGGGTCAAGTGTTATCGCTAATCACAAGGAACAATTCTTCAAATATACCCACCAGTGACACTGAATATGAGAATGAAAACTGTGAAATGCCGCGGTTCTCGAATCGAACTGGTTCGCTTATCGTTCATATTTCTATTTGGCTGGCACAGTCATTTTTTATCCTTTCCTATGCATAGGTAATCAACTGAAATGTTCTGTCAAGTGGCATACTCGATGACAACCGTCTAGTTCATTTAGTATCATTTTTGACTTTTCCTCAACTGGCAGTAAAATAGAAGTTACCTTTATTATTATAATAGCAGTGATAGTTCCTTATGTATATGCTCTTTCTTGCATTTTTTATTTATTTCATGGTTCAGGTGCATTCTTTGGATCGCATTTCTTGATGGGTGGTGAACGTTATGAGGTGGCCAAACCGGAATCATTTCTTTTCGGCGATAATAGTGATCTGGATCTGCTCAGTTCTAAACCAACTCAGGCAGTGTTCTAAATAAATATAATCTGCATTAGTTTTTAATACTTCTGACATTCACGAATCTTATAATTTAGCAATTGCTCGGCGATCGCTTATTGTACATTTTAGTGAATATGATGTACAATAAATGGAATATCGTCAAGTCAAGAATCATTATGAATCATGCATTTAAACTACGTTTCAGTTTCCGTATTCAAGACAAGCTGTTACTGATCCAGTGAGGACCCTCAACGCTCTCATTAACGTACGTCGTGATTCCGTAAAATTGATCCGGTAATATGTTGTTATTGACAACTTTCGAACTGCTGGTTTTGGACCCGGCCAAAATTTGCCGGACGGAAAATTTTAACCCAATGGAAAATTCCTGTTCCGATTCGAAAAATTGAGTCGGCCCGAGCCGGCAAGTCTTGGTCAGGAAAGACAGCTCCAGAATCTCTTGTTGTTGTTATTATTTGAATATAATTCTCATTTCATTACGTTTCATTTCATTTCTAATATTCATTCGTTTTGGTTCCGTTCCATGAGTTTTCAAGACATATTCATTGTTTAGTAGTCTGAGTTGCGTTAGGCGGTAAAGTTGATTTCATGTGGTTTGGTTTCGTTCATGGCATAAGTGTGCTACATCAAACTTCACTTCAGAACAATAAATAATGAACCCATTATTTATTGTTCTTATCCATTTGGTAGTAATGGTAATCTGTTCATTTGTTCAATGGGAAAGATTAGTTCATAAGTTGGCAGTTGGATATATGCTATACTAATTAGTCGAATAATAACGCTAGAATGAGATTCATTTGAAGGATCAAAAATGAATTACAAAATGATGGCAAGGAAGAAGACAGTGATGATGCTGATAATAATGATGATGATGGTGATAATGGAGGTAAGACAGAAGCAGCAGTAGAAGAAGAAGAAGTTGGAGGATCGAATGAGGCTGAAAAAGAATTATTCTATTTGGAATTTTATTTCGACTGTGATAGCGCTTGTTATGTGCAGATACATTTTTGTGTGAAAGAATCGATCACGGATGGACATGTGCAGTATGTTTACTTCTCTTTTTTTTCATTTATTTGCCTCTTTGGCCACATACGTTTTCGTTAATAATTTAGTGTTTATTTTATTCAAGTATTGATTCTTTCAAATCTTCCTATAAATTGTACAAGGACCGAATGTGTTGAATTGAATGTACAGTCATATAGGTGTTTATTATATTTACAGTTTTGTAAGCAAATATCCAAACATGAAATCATCAGAGCGATACTTTTTCAACATTGGTGCCGAACAGCATTTTGATAAATTCGTTTTCGATCCATCTTTATACGATATTGATAACGTTTGTTTGTTTACCTGTCATTTTTGCAATAGTTTGCAATTTATTTGACCATGATTTATTGTGTATATTTTTTGAGTTCAATTTATCAATTAACCCAAATGGATCAGGAATTTAACACATTCATTTAATACTGACAAAAAAATTGTAGTTAGTGAAAGCTGTCGCGGATGATAATTAATCACAGCAGTGCCACTGCCATTATTAATGATGTATAGTAATGTGATAATAAAATGTGATTGTCATAGTAGTAATTAAAGTGGTAAAATTCAGATGCATTATGAGAGCGGTGCTTATTTTCCCGTTGTGATCGAATTGTGTACGGTCGATTGTGGTGTTGAACAAATCCAGACAACAATGGCAACAATCGATCGCACCACTGATCAATCTGCTGCATTAATTTTGAAACCGTTGAAGCAAAAATTGGTCAGTTGGTAATGTAAATTGTCTATGAGTAATATTTATCGTTGAATTATAATAATAATACTTATCATTGTTGTATTACTGATTTGTTAATTTATTCATACCTTCTTATTTTCATTCACACATCTTGGATGATAGTGATTTAGTTTGTAAACGAGTAAAAGTAGCGTTGGCGTCAGTGATATGTGCTGTGATTAATGTTCGATTGGCTAATTAATTATACGATTCATTGTAGATTGCCGATGGGGTGGTTTACCTCCTACAAGAGATTTATGGAATTGAAAATAAAGATCACGATTTGAGTGATGAAAATGGTTCAGAATGCATTATTTGTATGTCAGATATTCGTGATACTGTTATCTTACCATGTCGACATTTATGCATTTGCAACGGATGTGCAGAAACATTGAGATATAAAGTAGGTGCATATGTATTATGCTAGTGTTATTTGTCTGTTTACGTTACTTTCATGCTCACTGCAATAAGAATTTCAAATTGCAGTTAAATAATTGTCCGATATGCCGTTCGCCATTTCGTGCGCTTCTTCAGCTGAAAACAATGCGTGTTGTGAGTACTGTTTCAATAACCGATCAGTCTTCATCGGCCACACAACAACACACACGATCACAAACTCGGTCCGTTACTTCACCAGTTATTTGTTCGTGTGACGTACTTCCTTCAATAATTATCTGCCCTCTCGTTGAAGATCCTCGCCGAAGACAATTTTGGGGCTGTCATGTCCACTTAGATTTTTGATTAAATGCATGTATCTGTGAATGAATGTATAAATGTGGATTGAATTACAGATATGAGACGATGACATTGGTTGAAGCGTTGAATGGTCCTGTGAGTCATATTCAATCATGTCTAGTTGAAGATTCATCAATAATTGCTTGCGAAATTCAGGACTGTTACTATTCAGACGCAAATGCAGCAGTATTAGTTGCATCATCATCGTCAACAGATTTGAACAATTTAGTAAGCACGACGACGGCAACTACCACACAACCATTGTATCACTCGGATGAGAGCACAGTTGCTAGTCAACAGTCGTCACTCACTTCAATCAGTATCCAACAGGTTACTTTTCCATCATTATTTTCTCTGTTTTTTTGCATTCCCTTCCACTGTCTGTACTCCTACAAAGCCATATTATTATTATTGTTATTGTTACAATGAGCAAAATTCTTGTTCCAATTAAATATTCTTGTGGTAGTTATTTGTTGTTGGTTTAAAATAATATTTAGGTTGTTTTTTTGTTGGAACCAACGAGTCACTAAGAATAGTTGCAGGGAAGTGAAATGTGATTAATTTAAGTGATTAATGTAAGGTGTTGTGATATTAATGATTGTTGTGATATCAGTGATGTTAATTAAAAGTGATTAATTTAAGGTGTTGACTTTAAATGCCACAACAAGAGATGTGCACGATGAAGATGATAATACAGTATATATTGAAATGAAGGCAACTGATCAGTTCAGTGATGATGATGGTAATGATATCGATAATGACAGTGGTAGTGAATTATCAGTACAAAAAATACCAATCACGGTTGTTATTTATTGTTATCCATATTATATTATTATTATATTATGTTATTTTTATATTATTATTATTATTGTTACTATTGTATTATTATTGTACTATTATTGCTGTTATTATTATTGTTATTATTGTTATTATTATTTATTATTATTGTTATTATTATTTATTATTATTATTACTATTATTATTATTATTATTATTATTATTATTACTATTAAATAACAGATTGATGATAAAGATAGACTGAAAGCGTGAATAAAATTTGAGGTGGAAAAGGGGAGAAGTGGCAGTATTCGATCGTCAGTGGATTGTTTATCGTGTGGAGGGAGCTCATCGTGCTCAGCAACAAACAAATACGTTCAGTTAAGAACGAAAACGACAACTGAAAAGTGTGATAGCGACGAGAAAGGTAACAGTGATAATTATAGTGGTAATCACTATTTCGCTTATGAACCAGTATCACTGAATAACCAACAGATTAATGATGTTGATAAAATTGATACTAAAACCGTGGGTGATTTGGAACTGAATCGGAAATTAAAGTTAAAACAAAAGTCTGACATGTCTTCTGTTAATATTGATTGAATTGTATGTGAAACCACCACTTGTATACCCGTTGTGTATACAAATGGTGGTTAAATTCGTTCTTGCGACTGTTGTATATTCGTTTTCCTTTTCTTCATAAAAGTGTTCGATCATTATAAATAGATGTATTTTGCAACGACTTTGAATATTCACGTTATGATATAAATGAGTAAGTAAAATGCTATCGTAATAGTTCGATAGCGAATGAATTCACGTTTGATTCTAATTGTATTTTTTACTCTTTATTTATGGAGTGTTTATATATCGGTTCACTTTTGTAATGATATTTCGCTGATCACTAACTGCCTTTGTGTTTTCGACGACTGTGATTGATGACGACTGAGATTACTTGATATTCAACAATAAACGTAACATAGTGCATTGATGTAATAATAAAAAAACTAATCATTTACGACAATGAAATGTAATCGTGTGATTTGTTCGTTGCATAATAATCGTTTGCATATGAATCGATCATAATCGCATATGAATGTGATATGGTGCCCAACGAAACCAACCGACAGATTTCGTTTAATTTAATGCAAGCGCATTCGTTTTTAACAAAAATATCGACCAATTAATCAACTGACTCTCATTTTAAAAACTAATCATTGTATTCATTTGAACACCTGTCCGTATTTTATATAGCGGATCTTTTTTTTGTCGAATTTTCCATAGGACATTTTATTCCTGAACTGAAATCTTCGGAAATTTTTGCAATCTTTTGAATTTTCATTCCGATCGATCGTCCAGCGCACAACAAGTTTATCTCCTTGGAGTTAACAATGAAGAAATTTCCCAATTATAGCGCATAATTGTCTCAATTTTCATCTTATGCATCCATAAAGTGAAAATTATCACCGATTGTTGTTCCACTTCACAACAGAGCACTCGGTATAATTGTTCCCATCTTCAGATCATTTCATCCTTACTGATTATATCAGTGATTGACAATGTAAAATGCCGACGATGAATGTAAATGGGGAAGGTGATTGGAGGGTCAACTGAATGGAATTTTTATCATTATAAGACACACCGTTGTGAAAGCATTCATCCGCCTAATATCCTCCCTGGTATTCATTTCTACGAGTCCACTGATAAAATCAATCCAAATTCAGTTACTGCCGAAGCCACAATAAAACAATGCCGATATCAACAATGAAAACAGTGACAAAAATAGCCATAAAAATAATGTCGACAACAATAACAGTAGCCAGTAATATTATTATTATTATTAAGAATCAAACTTACGGTTAAATTGTGGCTTAATAATATCAACAATATTAATGCCGAAACGGGTGCAACCGACCGCGTTTTTGATACTCTAATCCGTTGGTATCAATTTTCACGGAAAATCGGGGAATCATCCCGGAAATTTTTGAGGAACGGGGATCCCTAACAATTCTGAAAAAATTTCGGGGGCAGGATCCCCAAAATTCCTCGATCTCCACAACACTTTATATAATCCGTTGCAAACGGCGCACTCAAAATGAAGATGTACAAATCCCTCGCATATACTTTCTTTCAAATTATCATCAACAACGTTCATTTTTGCTTCATCATTAGAACCAACACAACATCAATATTATTGTACTGTGCTAATTGTTCATCAAATCAAACCAAGCAGTAACAAAACAATTGATTCATCAATTTCACTGACAACGATAAAAACGATGATACTGGATAACAATATGAAGGTGTACTAATGCAGTCACAGTATTAAAGAAGTATAGCTGATGGTTTATTTATCAATAAGGCAATAACGGTCTATTTGAGCGGAGAATCTGATAATCCTCTATTCAACCATTCATTTCGCTACTTTGGTGGCAAGACAATGACGAGACGACGATCGGCTTGAATGGTTCTTGATTCAGATGGTGGTATTCAAGCAATTCAGATCAATGAAGTAGTAATTATTGGGCATTCTCCATTCTGTTCAGAGTAAAACAAATCAACTGTTTTTGAGCGTGAGCCCCTCAAGTAGTCACACACATGATATTACATGTTTCATGGTGTGATAATGAAGTATCTTTTGGACAGAAAAAAAAACGCAGTGTTTAAATATGGCTGAAGGATTCGGTATCTTACTGACTCGAACGAGAGAGAACGCTGTTCAATTATGAATTTAACTGGCTAGATCACAAAATCACGAAAAATCCAAGTCACCATCGAGCAAAATGTAGTGAAGAAATCTGTATTCACTTTCAAGGAGACGATTGCTCAAGAGGTGAGATTCTTGCATGCTTCACTACAAAACAATCTAATTAAGTTGGTGTTCGGCTACTCGCTTTCGATGCTTCTTCTTCCCTCTTCATATATGAAGTAGCAAACGGTTGCTACTGTTCCCCATCAGCCTTTTTCTCTTCTTGTGCATTCCGCAAGAGTGATGTAAACTTCTCTGCATTTATTCTCGTACCATTCTTTTGAATGCAATCGAATAAAGTCCGTAAATGTTTTGCGTTTTGCATCATGCGACCATTTCCCACCAAAACAAATTGACGACGTGCACGTGTTATCGCCACGTTCATTCGTCTTTCATCACTCAAAAAGCCAATCCTTCCTGCAATTATTATACCGATTATGCTTGCTCTTCCAGTCGTCAGATGATTAGTGCTGTATTATTTCTTTCACTTCGTTTACTATTGTTATCACTCATCACTGACTCACCCTTATAGTTGCTTCTTACCAACGACATAATGATCACTTCTCGTTGCTGCCCTTGAAAGCCATCGACTGTACTCACCGATATCTCACTATTGCCAAGCATTTTTCGAATGAGTTCAACCTTCAGTCAACTGCGTTTCATTTATGTAACAATAAAAACTCGTAGATACATTGTATTAAAAGGAAATAAAATGAAGGAAATGAGATGAAAAGAGTAGAAAAAGAAATAATCAGTGAATGATGAACACATAGTAAAATAATGACGATCACCTGTGCAAAATAAGGCGATATAACACCAATGTGATCGCTTTGAACACGCATCTTTAACAAGTAATTCACATAAACGCACAAAAGCTTCGCCTCATCTGAAACATTTAAATGAGGAATTTATCATCTTCTTCACTCATTCAATCACTCAGTTCTACAGAATACAACTAAATGCCTCTTTGAAATTCGTGTAAATCCTTAATAGTACAATTACGTGTCATCAAAATTTTACTTCTTTTCTTCAATACAAGCGAACAATGAATATTATTGAACAACTTCAGTACGGATCGGACGTTCCAAACTGATGAACAGATATCATTCTTTCGCATATCATATACACATTGTAATATTTATACTAATGATTAGTTTCAATCGCACGACTGACAGCCAATCCATTGCAAAATTGCTTATCTGATGAGAATTCTGAGGTCCTTTTATTCTCATTGCACACCTGCTACTTCTTAAACTCATGTTATGTCGTAAAATTAGTGTATTTGTGTTGAATGGTAGTTGAAGGATTGAACCCTTGACATTATATTAAAAGATTTTTGTGTATGTTTCACGTTTCTTTCACATTCCTATTCCTCATCTTTTTGTTGCATATAGCTCACACAAACACTTCATAAATGCATGTTCCGTATGTTCCATATATTCGGTCATATACGTTATGGTTCGATCCACGCCTTGCATCTTCAAAAACCTCTGTCATTTACGCTTTTCCGACTTCACCAGGAAACAATTCGTGTCTCAGTGATGAACTAACTTATATTTCGATATGAGTGTTGGTAACTCTGTTCTTGAAAGAACAATTTTTTTGGTCGATTTCTTATTTTGTTGGTGGACGATTTAGAAGACTGATCTTCTGGTAGGAACTCATCAGCCTCCTTGTTGATCTTCTGCTGTGTATCAACCATCAGCAATGGCGCATTTATAACACTCTTCTCATTGATATCACTGATTTCACTGAAACAAATTTATTCGTTTCATTCATCTATTCGTTCATTTTATTGGGCCTCAAACACACCTATAATCAAAACCACACACTTAAATGTACACATCTCTTCGAAAAGTGTTAATTTCAAATGCAGCAAACCTGAGTGTAATATTTGCAACTGACTGATGAGCGTTTAATTTCGATTCATAAAAATATTCATTTGACCATCTAAAAATTATTACTATCATTACCATCATCACTATCACTGTTATTATAATTATTAACATCACTGACTGATTATCCATTAACAGCAGCAATCAGTACAATTAACATATTATTGATCACTGACAAATCACACAGAGAATGAAAGTTAATTAAATTCCAAATGACGAAATATGAAGTAACAGATGAAAAATAGAAATATTCTTCGTTCTGGACACTTACTTCATAATTTTTTCGTTCATACGATACTGAATACTTAAGATGTGATTCAGGATCGAACCGAATTGTTGATTGAGTATCTCCATTAGAGATCTACTTAATCCTTGCGCGACTGCCCTGAATTTCCAGTTGCCTTCTTTCAATGAATGACGTAAAAAATTATTGTAATTATGATAATAATAATAATAATAATAGTAACAAGAATGGTAATAATTATTTTAATAATAACCGTGGAATTTAAAAATAAATTTTTACAGAACAGCTTCAAAATGACTGAAATTGGATTGAATGTAATGAATATTTATTACGATTATGAATAGATTGAAGAGGATCACACTAACGTAGTGGACTGCAAAACGGCCGGTAGTTGATGCTGATCTCCGCAAAGAACACAACGTTTCGATTGCAGTATCGGTAGCCACGTTGCACATTCCATCACTTGTCCAGCTTCATCAATTATCAACAGATCAGCCATAAATCCGAATCTCTTCAGCGAATGCAATGAACTACTCGAAACTGTACAAAATATCACTTGTTTCTCACTGATAACATTCTGGAAAGCAAATTAATTTTATCGTTAATAAATTCAAAGTCTCTCTTGTCGAGTTTTGGTGAACTGATTTCTGCTGTGTTAAGGAACATCGAAACATTGACGATATTCTCGTGCCAATCGGTCACATAAAATTTAACTAATTTTGGTTGGAAACTTTGTTAATTACGCAGTTCAACGCGTAACTGCTGAGTATTGTGCAGTTTGTTCGCAACAAATCAAAACAACTGTTTAATTGTTTTAATGCTTTCATCCTTCAGGTGGTCAATTACATGAAGTGTAGCATGTTCATAAAGCATTAGAACAGAACTCGAAGTACTTGAAAAAGTCTCAGGCATTCGGCAGTTTATTATCTCAAATGAAAGGGAACACTTCACAATTATGACTTTAAGTATCGGATTATCCAAATTTCTTTTTCGCTTATTGACTGTTCTACAAAATGCATAATACTTTTTACGTGAAACAAAGCATTATTTCATGTGGTGGTGATATTTATCAGTATCACCAGATAGGATGATAAAGGAATAATAATAATACCTTTTGCATAAAATCCTTGAGGCGCTTCCCGTCTTGCATTAATTTTTTTGTGATTGCCGACGAATAGCCATTCAAACGAATCGATTCATTCTAAAATTTCCAAGATTGTTTTCTCGCTGCATCAAAAACATATCAGCTTTAAAACGTGCTCATGAATGCATTGTTACTTACAACTGCACAGATGTAAATGTACAAACATTACAAACCATTATCATTGTTTAAATACTGTTATTATCCTTATAAGACCAGATGTTCACTCACCAATCGTTCATAAATCTCGACAAGCTGCTTATAGTTGTTGTGGTCTTCCTTGAGTTCGTCTTCCATTAAGATGTTCGGATCCATTCCAATACGACATTGCTCGTTATAATTGCGAATACGGGTTATTATGTTTTCGATCGCGAGATTCGATGGTGCACATACTAACACATAAAACAGCATCAGTGATTACGCGCAACAATCGTTTTATTCTACTGACTTTTCATTATTATATCAATTATTGTGAAGTAATCCAGTGTCAACTAGTATTAGAAACATACTTTCTGTTTTGCACGTATCGCCTGTAGTATAATTTCAATTAGTACGGCCGTTTTGCCGGTACCTGGAGGGCCTTGAATCGTGACTACTGGGCGATTTTTATTGAGAGCAGCCGAGACGGCACGTTTTTGATCGTCATTCAGTTCGTCAAGAATGTAGTGTAATTTACGATCTGAATGTTGAATAATGATATTTCCGTTATCATTAGATAATGGATGTTATGAGAATAGAGTTTTGAGTGTAAAAGATCATTGAGTGGGATGGCGAGAAAGAAGGAAGATGGTAAGAGTACCAACCGTGATGAACGGATGACATCGGAAGTGCACGATATGTATAATGCAATATACGTTCTCCAGGCGCACCTCTCCATGAGGCTGAATCCTCAAAGCAAAAAAAAACTAACAATAATCAAAATCAAAATTCCATCTAAGTAGTCTGTTCATTTGCAGTTAATAACATCAAATAACGACCAGCACCAAAAAAGAAACTAACAGAAATGAACTTAGTGAGTGAATGTAATACTCCGGTAGTTACTGATGGTATAAGTGTATACGTTGTGGCTGTAGTAGATATCTCTGTTCCCTGTTCTGCTGTTGTTGTTTGATTATTTTGATTGTGACAATCCACAGTTAAATTCTGATCTAGTTTTTTGTTTAACTTTAATTGAATTTCTCGTTGAGCTGACCTCAACATGACACATTCGGCAACAGGTTCCAATTGAGCACCACCACGATACAACATTAATGGACTGCCTGAAGCTCAGCGTTAAAATTCACTACAAAGATATGAATAATCACTTGATTCTATACTCCATGTTCTATGATCGACTGAATTGTTTTTGCTATTTTTTGTTGTCACTCATTGCATTTTAGTGAATATTCCCAGTTAACTGGATAGATATGATGTACTTATCAATTAATCATTGGTTCAACTCAGATCGAAATCCGTTTTGGTGTGCTGAACTAGAGAATACCTTGACGAAATTTTGCACTGATGGAACGTTGTGCGTTATCATGATTATTAGCAGCAGTTCTCAGCTCAATAACACGACCAAATAACGGTTTTACGACATCTGAGACGAGCGTTAAATTCGAAATCGCCAAACCGCGTTCGTAGAGTTCAGTTGACGAAGTCGGATCAGCCAAATACTCTCGAAAATCAATTATTTATTGAATTCGATTATTATTATTATCGAATGAATGGAATTATTATCATCGGATGCTTTTGACATTATCACAACAACATGGATACGATGTGAGATCGTTAACCGTATACTCTCGAAAAGTAACGAATTATTATTGGTAAATTAGTTGTGAAATCATCAAAATGATACTAATCTACAATTGTATTATTGATATGAGCATCGCGATACTATGAATAAGATGTCATGGACTGTTTTTACTGCGGTGCGTATTTATTTAATCATTCACTGTTCATTTGAATATTGATTCACTTACGTAATCATCCATACGTTCAATTAATCAAAAATTCGTTTATCTAATTGAACTGGCAAGATGAATGTTGTAAGCACACCAAACTCTTGATGGTATACTACTGGGGGACGCCCGATGGATCACCCGCATATTCAATCCAGTTGACCAATCGATTGGGCTCTCACAAGTAGGGTGATGTGGGGTGTTGCTGCGGTCAAAGTCAATTATGGTAAGCACATTTTGCATTTTCTTTCACATCCGTGATAATAAATTCGTTGTTTTCTGGCTCTGTTCCTGTTTCGTTAAATACAGCGGAACTTTGTTCACCTTATCATTTCTTCGTTTGCATCAATTTCCATTTTCAACAAGTTTCGCCAACGTTGTAAGTTTTCACGAAACGCTGGAGGAAATGCTACAAACGTTTGTGCAGAACTTATTGCTGAATGCTTCAATCGCCATTTCTTTTTTGTTGAGCTAAAAAAGAAACATTTTCTTGTGCATCTTTCTAACAATAAATGCTGTCTGCGTTGCTGCTTTTTCATAGCATTTCTCACATTCTGTTGTAATTCTCTTCGTTTCTTTCATTCATCCCTTTGATTTCGTCACGAATTTCGTATAAACGAAAATTTATTTTAAAAACTCGTCAAGTCGATCAAAACTTAATGATGAATATTCTCTACAAAAAATTTGAAAAGTGCAACAACAAAAAACAGCCTAATCATTAACGAACCGTCGGATTGTTTTCGTCGTTGAAAAGTGTGTCACTGCGGAATATTTCTTCATCAAGTGGCGGAGATTAGTGAACGCTGAGAATGCTTTTTCAGAAACAGCAAATGACATTGCTTAGAATGAATCATTTAAATACACCAGTCACTTAATATCCACCATTTAACCACTCTCTATTCGGTGTTATTCACGGTCTTCTTTCTCATTGTTTCATATTGCCATCGGGTGAAGTTGCCAAATGAGATATCAGCTGGGTTTAATCGCTAACAATGAGGTGGTGGAAAAATGTGTGTTTCCCAATTACATGAGATGGTATGGGGATTAAAGTAGAGGATTGCTCATCAGTAGTGATATGAATAAATATCTGATTCATTGCAGATGTGTTCATTGTTCAATAAAAATCATTTACCTACCTTCACTTAGCAAACAATCCATATTAATCACAGTAAATACGCATACTATTGAAAATGGATCATTTAGGAAACATTTTTCGGGAATGTTTTATTCAGCGAATATTTTATTCAAGAAGAAAATTACAAAAGGGTATTAATTAATTGAGTAATTAACACTGAGAGATAAGAAACGTTACACATATGATTTGCTACATTCACCATGTTTCACCGATTTACGACAAATAAATGCATTGAAAAGTTGAGATAGAATTCAGTTATTCGTGCAAAATATTAAAAAGTCGTGTTAAACTAATGGAAGAACGAAGTACTTCAGACCTAAGCTTTTTTTTGAAGTGACAACAGTTGCAATGATATTTTCATTACAATAAGGTCTCAGTATTATAATAATTATAGCGTCTATGATGATTTATTACCGTCATTATTGTTGTTATCGAAAATATTTTTATATAGCTATTCTTATCACCGTTACGACTATCACTACTATCTAGATATGTTGTCGTTATTATTATGATGCATATAATCAGTAGTCGTACTGATATCCTTGCATCCTTCTAACATCGCTCGTCTCACTAATTTCTCCATCAACTTTTTCGTAATGTGTATTGAATGCGACAGTAGGTGCGTCTGGATCGTGCAAAACCTTTAAAAAATTAACACATTTTCAATCATTCTAATGTGATATCATAGCCAAATCATAGCTGAAAGACAGCTACTGATTAGTGCTATGATTGCAAGTTGAAAGTTTCATTGAAAAAATACATATTAGAAACCGATCAGCAAAAGGTATTAAATGAAACGCAAAAAGGAGAAGGTATATACTAAAATCAACACTTACTTCGTTGATCTTATTAAGTGCTGGTGGATTTCTTAGCACAAACATTAGTGGAGCATACACGAAATTGATAATCGCTATCAAATACATCATTCTAAAATCATCATTGAGCAGTTTTGTTCTTTCGTTTAGTCTTCTCACATTTATTTCGACTGAATGTCAGCCAGTGTCTATCTCGTGCTTCTTCAGAGCTTATTTCATAAACCAACAGACCGATGGATTGGCCTTAGGCCTGCTCACTCATAAGTCCTTATGTAACTTTGCAAACGTTTTAAATATTTTCATCCTCCATTACCGCCTGCCCACTTATTTCTTGAAGTTTTCATCTTAATTTTCCCATTATTTTTCCTATCGCTCATCCGCCAGCTCCTCTCTTCAATGTATTCATTATGAATAATTATTGAAAATTATGATCATAATCAACTGATCAATGACAGAAAGAAAGAGAAATAAATGACTGACTAAAACGGAAAACGTACGTTGGGAACCCAACAGATCGAACTAACGGTCCCGAGAAGAACGGTCCCAAAGCGAATGCAAAACAGAAAGCAGCATCAGCGATCGCGTATATTGATCCATAGACACCTACATGACGTAAATCGACTAAATATCCCATCAACGGAAACATTGATGCGTCGATCATACCTGTTGAGTAAGAGACAGATTTATTGCTCCCATAACTGCTAATCACTTGCTTGGAGCGATCATTTCGATCATGCATCGAATCGTAAGCATATTCACCAACATTAAACGATATAAATACACATGATAAAAACAATGAATGCTAATAATCAGTGCTCACCAATTGAAAATCCCATGAAGAAATTCGGTAAAATTAAACCTCCAATGCCGCGAGCTGTTGGAATCTGAAAAGTGCTGTTGTATGCTGATAATACGTTCTTGAATGATTTAATCAGTTAAAATTATCGAATGAATTAGTCAAAAACCCACTATAAATAAGTGCAATTTGTAGATGAAGCAAAAAGGTTCTAGAATATAAATCATGTATGAAAAACGTACGATAAGAAGGCAAACGCCAATGATGAGAAGTCCGATGAACCCACTCAGCCATCTGTAAAGAGCTATGTTTTGATAGTTTCAATCACTATTGATCCATGATAAACAGATTAGTAGAACGGGATCTGTGAAGACATTTTTTGTTAAAAGTTAGACGATCAAAAACCATAAACCATATCGCTGATGTGGTTTATGGTTTTGCTACATAGTGTGTCATCGTGAAAATAAAGATGTTTTCTTTGTTAGTCGTTCGAATCGTTTAAACTTTACTTCCTTTGGAATTGAAATGCTAACTAATTTTTATGTTAGTATAAAGAGGATTGATAATTTTGCGAGTTTTGAACATTCGTACAAAATACGTATATCAGATTTGTATTCATTTGAAAATTCTCGTTCATCAGTCTCACGGAATGGAACGCTTAACGTTGAGAGTCTCTGTCGCTAAACGTTTCAAACCAAGTATTTCTTGGTTTATGCCTTCAAAAATATTGACTGTGATCATGATCAGGAAATATCGAATCGTTACACTCTCATCACATCTGATCTTTTCACCTCTCTGATAACGAAATCAATCTTTTGCAGCGCTCATCCTTATCAAATGATAAGCATTTGTAATGCTGAAGGTGATAGCAGCGAGGCAAGCATTATTCAGTTCCTTCTAATTTCTGCGTAAAACGATCATCACTCGAAAACACCGTTCTTTCTCAATACTTGCTCTCCCCTCTTGAAGAATTCTTGTCTTAAAAAAGAAGATAAAATTTTGCAAACCTCCCACCATATGTCACTCTTTCACGTGAATAAATCATCTGCCTTGAAAAGGTTCCTCCGTCCTCCAAATGTTCAGAAAATTAATATATCCCTCAATTTTTAAACGAGGAAATACGTCTAGACGGATGCTATGAACAAACTGCGAACCGTCCAATTTTATGAGCGAGTGGACCGAAGATATTGGTACCAATAAGATAGGAGATACTCGCCGGAAGGAACGCAGCGCCACGTTCAAAAGAGCCAGCTTCCCATGTTTCCATCATCCATAATGGTAGCGATGGTTCCAACATTGCAATACCCAAATTACCAACCGTAATTGCACCTTAATTAATTGCGTGATTCATTAATGAGATAATCGTTTGTGCATTAAAGAACAACGAACTTTTATCACGCGAAAGAAACGTGTTTAAAAAGATTATGTGAATATTGCAATATTTGAGTTGAGAGCATCACCAACCAGCTGCGACAACAATATAAGGATCGCTCGCAAGTTCTTTGATTGCAGTTCCTTCTTGCTCACCACGATCGACACGAGGTTGGAGCACGAAGAATTGTAATGCTATACAAAACAATTCGATTTCAATCAATATATTCATATTATTTTTACTGTTGTTATTAATATTATTATTATGATTGTTGTATCATTATTGGTCACTCACGGATCAATTGTGTTCAAATTAAATTGAGTAATTAATCAGCACTGGTTTTGCGTAGCACTTACATCCATCAAAAAGTGCCAATAAGGCAAGCAACAAGAAAGGTAATTCTTTTCCGGACCATTGATACAGAACACCACCATATGGGGGTCCGACAAGGACACCCAACGCGAGACCACCCAAAGCGATACCCATGGCGCTACCGCGCTCCAAATCGTCCGGATAAGCTTGTGCAAGCATACCCATTCCTGAAAATACATTCGCAAACATGAATGTCAATCTAAAGTGGCCGTGTAATGAAAATTAAGCAACGATTTGATGTGGTGTTATTGATACACTCACTGATCATATGTATCTGTAATTGAGAAAAGGCAAAAGAAAGAAACTATTGACCAGACGTGCTTGTACATGCCGATCCAATACCCTGAAGTGCTCTTGCAAACCATAGCGTTCCGAAGGACGTTCCGAACGCGAACATTATCGTTGACACAAACATTATACAGAATCCACCGAACATTGGAATTGTATATCCGATTCTTAACAGATTTGCTTTATTATTATTATTTGCTTATTTGCTACTTTACTGTTATTATTTGCCTTAATATCCGATTCCTAAGTACTATTATTATTAATATTATCATTATTATTTTTACTGTTATTATATCATTGTTAATGTTGTCAAATCATAACGCTGCTATTATTATCGTTAATATGATAGGGGAATGAAAATAAGGTTTCATTAAAAAAGAAGGTGGAAAGTGGGATATAAGACGAGAATATGAGTAATGATAACTTGTTAGTTAATGGGCCAATCCACGGATTTGTGAGCAGTTGAATTAGTGCTTTTGAACCGAACATTAAGCCGACATGAACATTCTCTTCAGCAAGTGTTTCGTGACGTTGACGTGCTTCCTCTTCAGTTGGCTGCTCTTCTAATTGTTTCTCAATATCATTATTGTTGATGTTGTCACCAAGATTTTGATTAGTCGTGTAGCGCATTGGTGAGAAATTGACTGATGACGATTTCGATTCACTTGCAGCTGCACTCAGAACGGTTCTTGTTGTTGTTGTTGTAAACCGAAGACGACGATTATTTTTGTTATTTTTGCGATAACTATTGGCTCTTTGAGAAGATTTCAGCAACGGACCCTTTGCAGATCCTTTAAATTGATAAATTTCGAAGTATATATATATGTACTAAATACATGCTTTCCTTGAGAGAACAGTCGAATATCACTGATGTATATATGCTGAAAAAAGAAAACAACATACCTTTTCGTTGTTTTGATTCGAAACTATCTTTGTTGTGAGTGTATTTTGCTAGATTCAGTGGACTTTGTTGCCAGTCAATTATACTCTCTTCACCATTCAGTGGTATCTCCCAAGCGTTATCATTCCATAAAATTGGCTCGTAATAATAATCCTCATTTGATGTTTGACGCCTTTGTCGGTTATTGTTATTACTAGTGATAATTGAATGTTGTGTTTCTGTTACTGATACTTTATTGTAGAGCAACAAATCTGTTGAATTCGGATGCGAAAGTCTCAAGAGATATTCGGGTATTATCGGCACTGAAAGTTTTTTTCAAGATGATCATTGCCGTTGCAAATGAAAATCATAATGATGACAGTAATATTTACAGTGAGAATAATAATAATAGATCTAAATTTTTTGCTAACAAATGATATTTATAATGATAGTAAGCCTAACCAACTGTAGTGAGAAGCATGTTGTCCAGAAATAATGCAATATAAACAATAAATAATAAGACTTTTCGGTTATTATGATATTTCGTAACAAATTCAGCAAATGTCATATTGAAGAGTTGAATAAAAGCGACTCGGTCAGATCTGAATTACATATTCAAAACTCCAAACAAACAGGTCGGAGTATCCCAACGATTGAACATTAACGCTCTGATAACGACGAACTGTCTACTTGCTCTCTTAACATCCCAAATCACGTGTTTATCGTCCTATCGAGTACTGTTTCCAGCTTGATTTTACTAGTCTGATAATGTGTAAGATGAACAAATACGAACTCTGTAAATTATATCAAAAGAGATAATGAATCAGTTTATTAATCCTTATCAACAGCTGATTTTGTTGTGAGAAATTTGATGCTTATTATGGGATAATTTCTTGATATTTTTCAAGTGATAAACCCGTTGGTGGAATTCAAATCATGTAGAAGATGGATTACAGTAGTTGGATGAACGGATGGATGTTGCGATGATGAGATAATCGAATAATGATAATCGCAAGTTGATAAGAACGATTGCCAAGCAAGCCTCTGAAGAAGCGCTATTTCATCGTCATTTATAGTCGAAGTGGTATGCGAATAATTGGACAAACTAAACGAAACCCATCAGTCGCTCATCAGCCAGTTATCAATCTGTTGAATCGTTGTTTCATCAAGCCAAGCCTAATTAAATGCTTCCTGATTGGTTAGCCGAATCAAAATAAGCCGGCCCATCGCACTCAGCTTTGTTGAACGTGAAGAAGTTTTTGGATAACTGATTTGATAATTGATTAATTGTTCAACACATATGTATTTATATGACAGATAGATATGTGCATGATTATTTTTTATTTAAACATACACTCATGTCATTTACATATGTATTAAGCATGAATCGTCGATTGTTAATTGAATTTATAAGTGTTAATAGAAATAGTTTGGGTGGATTGATAAATGGATGATCTCTCTAACATCTGTCTTTGATTGATAATGCAGTTTGCTTTTAATGCAATTAAACTCACCGAATACCCGTTGAATCTGAAGCGTTTATCATGTCAAAATGAAAGCAATCATCTGAACGGATCGCAAAAAACTCGAAAGTTTATGGCTTAGATAGATGGATGGATAAGTGGATGGATAGATTGGTATATGGCGTATCACTGCTTTCTTCATGTCACGTTACAAACAAGACAAGGTTGACCGCACTTTTTTATACTGCTACTCAGATTAAGTCCATTGTAGGGAAATGCTCCTCAGTTTATGTTGAAATTGGTACACAGTCAAAAAGTAAGTATGACTGAGATAGGTGTATTTTAATGTGAATGAATAATAACGCTGAAAATGAGTTGGTTAGCAATTCAACTGACAAAGGATGCTGCATTGTTTTCTTTTGTGGTAACTTTAGTTAAAGCGACATTTTATGCTTCGCAAAGCATAACCAAGACAAGTATTTTGAAAAGTCGCATCTACACACACATTTCGATTCAAATATTTATTATCGTT